ATACTCGCGCTACTATTGAGCAATGCCAGACCGAACTTCCCGACCTCAAACGTTGTGGGCGGGACTAAGTTCGGAATGGCACCCAGGCTAGTAAATAATAATGGTCTTGTATCGATGCATCGATCAGACAGCCGACGATCCGATGCATCGACACGTCCGCAAGAGTATCGATTCATGTGTTTTTTGTCCTCCCATCTATTTTTATCCATTTGCTCCTGGGCGTAATTCTCCCTCCCGTGCTGCGGTGGCGCTAAACCTATTTTGCCCTCCTACCTCGCTTCCTGGTTATACTCTCACAGCAGTGTGTTGCAGTAAGCTTGACACACACATTTTTGATTTATGCCCAATATTGAAGCGTTTTCTGTGCTACACGCCGTGGGTCTAGATACGGCCGAGGCGGTGAGGAAGTGGGGGCGAGTTTAGTCTGACAACGGAGGGACATGAGGGCCAAAAAGAGCGGAGATCCAGGTGGAAAAAGGTTCCCAGCGTTCTCGCGCACCTCACTTCACGAGTTTTGCACTTTGAATTGCTCTCATTGCACTGATTTTGTACAAATTGTACAAACATTGTCTAGCTTGTAAGGTTAAAAAAAAAATGAACCAATTAATCAAATTGTATCGTGGCATATTCTTGAGTATCGAAAATAATCGAATCGTTCGGTCAGGAAATCGCTACTGAATCGAATCGCCATGATGGATGTGATTTACACCCCTATTAATTACAGGAAAAAAAAAAAAATAATTCTCATGTTTGCGTATCTTATTCTAACTGCATATTTTTTTACTTGTTTGCTTGTTGCAGAAGATCCCCTGCTGCAAATCAACCCTCAGCCACTAAAGTCTGTCTCTCGGGTAAGTTCACTCTTTGTTAAACACAACCAAACACTTTCTCAGTAAGTTTGGGGATTTTATAATTACTAAAACTCTTTCATCTGTAATTTCTTCCTCGAGATTATTTAACAGACACATGTAGAAACATTTGTTCCTCAATGTGATCAGGCATTTGATGTCTTCATTTAAAGACCCAGAATTTACATCATGATTAATTAAAATACTTTTCCTTGCCCTAAATCTCAACACTTTCTGATGGTTGTCTTTTTGCACCCATTCAAGTGTCCTTAGCAAACTCCCATTCCTTCACAAATAAGTCAAATAAGCTTTGTATATTAGTTTTTTAATTATTTTTTAATGAGAAAAGTGACTGTTACACATGGTTAAGTATCTGATATGCTCAAGAAAGTGTCTGATGGGAACCAGAACGTATCTGATTAGAACCAGGAAACAGAACTTATCTGGTGGGAACTAAAACTTATCTGATGAGAACCAGAAAGTATCTGATGGATTACTAAAATAACTGTTTGCTTTGCATAAAGGACAGATCTGTGAAAGGTGACCAACCACCTTTGCCAAAAAGTACTAGTCAAATATCCAGCCAGACGTCTACCAACAAGTAGATAAATTAGATGCAAACTTCAATCTGGATTTGAAGTTTGTTAATGTTTGAATTACTTTAAAATAAAAAAAATAAATAAAAAAATCTGCACTCTGTTTCAACAACAATGCTCTTGCATTAAACTAGATTTTTTTTTTTTTACTTGTTCATCAGTGCACTGCATTTGAAAGCCTCTGGGTTTGCAGAAACCTCTCATTCTTGTCTTAGTTAATAAAAGGACAGTGCATGCAAAACCTGTCCCATGTTTGAGGGTCTTTTTTCTGATGTTTGCAAATAAATCTGAATTAATTCAATAACCAATGGCTCAAAGACAAGAAAATGCATTTCATGCACTGGCTTTTCATCTGAAGAAAAGGAAAGTATGTGGATGAGAAATGCAGAGTAGTTATCGGTTTCAGTGTCAAACAGCTCTATGTAATAGACGGGAAAGAAGAGCGACAAAGGTTAGGGAGGGACGCTAAAATAGATATTGGTTCCTGCTGTACTGGTTCTTCAAGCCCAATTGACGTCAGCAATTGCCTGCACATGGGTGCTCTAAACTTCCTATCAGCACAGATGGCCTGAGAAAAAGTGTCCCACATCAGGAAAAAAATAAAAAATAACAGAAGACAACTGCAAATCTCTTACCGTCCTTCCTCCGCACTCCTCACAAACCTTGACCTTCTGCAAGCTATCACTGACGAATGGGACCGTCTCATTAGACTGGTTTGTGACGCACTGGGGGTGATAGAAGAGCAAAATATCCACATGATGAAATCTGTAAGACTTATGTTTTCCAAACTTTCACATTTAACAATCTCACACTTTTAAAAACTGAAAAGGGAAAACAATTGTTACAATGCTTTTGTGGGTATGATCTAAATATATGAGAGTGAGTACCCTTAAATTAAGATTTTTTTTTATTACGGAAGCCTGAAAGGAAAATTAGAGCAAAATCGAAGAGATAAAGTCACCCCACATTCCTTGATTCCATCCAAATAAAGGACATCCAAAATATTAAAGTTTTGAACCAGTCAGACACAGCATAAGAGGTTGACTTAAATGAAATTATCAACAGAAGTGGTTTCATGACCTTGACCAGTAGGGAAACTGACTTCAAACAAGAAGCAGGGGTTAAAATAAAAACTTAGTTCAGCTGCAGATGCGTCACTGCTGCGCTTTTACCTTGTTAAGCATTTTATCACTGCAACTTAAGGGGGTTTTAGTGATTGCATTTTAGTTTGCCATTCCTGCTTCAAAAAATGACAAACAGGCCTCTGTCACACACAGACTGGTGAGCTGGAAGCCAACAAGGCGCTCAGTCTTCCCTGCCTGATTCTGATTATAGGTTTTACTTGAAATTATACCTAAAGAAACTCGACTTTGACGTCTTTAACAATCAGAACTGAATTAAATGGTAACGGTATGAGCTAACTATTGTCAGAACCACCCAGCTTCAGCTGGATAAATGTTTAATGTAGGGATGTACTGATTGTTTAAAACAAAATAAATAAATAAAAAAGCCTAACCTGCTATTCTGATTTTGACCCGTACTGATATATTTCTAATAGCGAATACCAATATTTTTCAATGACTGATAATTTTATGTTATAATGTCAAAATACACCTATGTTTGATTGAGCCTTACTTCCTAAAACTGGCAGCTGATTTCATAGCAGAGCCACTGCCCATTCTTTTAAATCTTTCCTTTGAAAACAAGGACATCCCATCTATTTGGAAGTCTGCTTCTGTCCTTCCTTTATTAAAAGGAGGTGATCCATTAGTTCTTTAGCCTGACGTAGTCCTACTCAATTCTAGTCAGAATATGAGTCTGATACTGCTCCATAGAGCTGTGATTATGGGGCGTTTTTCGAACGAACCAGGAAAAAAAATGCCTCTGCACTCAATTGGATAGACCAACAACCAATAAGAGCAACGGTTATGTTAAGCGACCAAGGGAGCCAGCTGATAAATTAAACTTTTGCCGAATCCCGTACAAAGGACGCCAAAAACATCTTTCTTTTCAACAAATGCCTTGATCGCATTTCTCTGTTCCTCTTTAAAATTAATTTGCTGTCGATATCTTCTAGAACAGACCTAATAGCAGAATCTACACACCTCAACTCTCCAGCGGCAGCCAATATTGTTGTTGTCACCCAAGCGCGCTTTGGTGACGTGGTTGATTACGTTACTGTTAATCATCTGTCCATCATCGTATAAAGCCAGCCCTGACAATTTGATTGGCCCGACCAGATATTGGGCGAGCGTACTCGCGCTACTATTGAGCAATGCCAGACCGAACTTCCCGACCTCAAACATTGTGGGCAGGACTAAGTTCGGAATGGCACCCGGGCTATCAGTTCTTACCAATTATATGTATGTTTCATCTAATTATATGTATGTTTCATCTAAAATTCTGGAGTCTCTTGTTTGTGATCAATTGAAAATCCTTTCTAAATATCAATCCGGTTTCCAAAAAAAAAAAAACAAAAAAAAAACACAGCACTATTACTTCTACTATGAAGGTGATAAATGATATAATTGTAGCGCTTGATAAAAACAGTACTGTGCTTCACTCTTTATTGGTCTTTTAAAAGCTTTGACACCGTAGACCATGCTATTTTAAAACACAGGCTACTTCTCATTGGACTATCAGAGCATGCGGTTGCTTTTTTTTTTTTTTTTTTTTTTTTCTTTTTTTCCAATTATCTAGAAAGCAGTTCCCAGTGTATAAAATGTGAGGGGCTTTTTTCTGAATTTGTTACTGTTCACAAGGGTGTGCCACAAGGATCTGTTTTTGGCCCCCTCTTAATTATGTTTTACATCAACAATGTTGAACAAAATTTATCTGATGCTAATATGCATTTTTATGCTGATGATACCATTATTTATTGCTTTGGATCATCTCTTGAACAGGCTATTAATTCCCTACAGAAAGCCTCTGTTGTCATAATGCTAGCTCTTGGATTCTTAAGTAGGCACACGCACAGAAAGAAGCAGATTTAAACAGTTTATTTTATTATTTATTTTATTATAGGATAATGCGATGACAACTGAGTCTGGAAAAAACTGAGGGAGCAGGGGCTGGGAGCAGGCAATTGAGTAGGAGTCCATGAAGGCCGGTCTTGCTGGTTGGAAGTAGATGTTGGGGGTTGAGAGAGGAGACACTGGTCTTTCAGTTTGTTTGGAGATGAGGGTGGACAGGTTTGAGCCAGGGGTTCTGAAGGCCAAGTTGGTGAGCCTGAGGAAGGAGCAGAACGGAAGCCTTGAGGGAGGTAAATCCAACTAACCTGACTCCGCCAGATGGATTTGCTCCGCATATCCATCTGGAAAGCTTCAGTTGAAGAAGTTTTGGGAAGGGGCGAAAATACTCTTGCTGCTCTTGCTGAAACCAGTCGGGAGAAGAGCAAAAATATCTTTTCCTCTGAGAAAAGCCTCCAGAGCAGTATTTTGCTCTTCTTTCAGTGAAGAAATACTCTGTAATTCCGATAAAACTTGCTCGATAGCCACGCTAACGCTAGTTTCATCGGCTGAAGCCGCCATGTTCTTTAGACTGAACTGTTGCGCTTCT